AGAAATCTTTGAGGCTGAATATTTTGATGCTTACACATTTTAATTTTTCTTCCCGTGGTTTATATTTCCATTACCATACAAACTGTCAGGGAATTAAGTACTTCAGCATATTCCTATAGGATTTTTTGAATGATTCTGTCTTTACTTAACAATTGTTGAAAATTTTCCCAGGCTGTGACCGCTCTGAAAAAGTGAGGTATTAGACCAGAAACACAGGTATGTAAAATGCCTGAACATAGTTGATGCCCAGTGAGCGGAAGCTAAGATTATGTCAAAAAATTATTAGTATTGGCATATGCTTTGATTTTCCCAATGTTCCTGCCTATCAGAGAAAATCTTCATTAATAAGCCCAATTTCCCACCTCTTCTCACCTCCTAAAGGGTAAGGATAATTTTGTGCTGAATTTAAGTCTAAACCAATCTACTGAACAATGGGATGAGAAAAGGCAGAGAAAGCTGGGGCTTCCAGGTGGGGGTTGGAGCTGGGGATGAGAGAAGTAGAAGAGGAAAGGGGGTTTTAATTAAAGTGGTTGTAGAGTATGCGTTTGGATCCTCTTGACTGCTATTGTAGAGGCACTAGTAAAAGACAGAATTCTTTTAAATTACCTCTTGAGAGTCTAAGTACCCCTCTTGAATGCAGCATTGTTATGGGACTGAACCCCGAGCATCTCTGGATTTACAAGTCTTACATTATTGATACGAAAGTTGTGTAGAAAAGGATTAACCTTGTCCAAGGAGAGGTTTGGCTTTTCCCTAGGCTCCTAGAAGATCCTAGAAGATAATGTCTAAGCCCTTGGAATGTCCTGCCTGCTAAGTATGTCTTCATTTACCTGGGGGCCAGGGCCCATGCCAGATATTGTACACTAACAATGTAATTTACGGTAGGGACTTTGGGCCACACAGTATCAGCTCTACCTCTGGAGGGGTTGGAGATTAAGGTCAGCCATGCATGTGGTCAACCATATCTACAAGACCAAACCCCAATAAAAACCCTGGACACCAAGGCTCAGGTAACCTTCATGATTATCCCAATTCAGTGCAAATTGTTGCACATCACTGCTGGTTGAAATAGGTGCTGTCCACACAACTCCACTGAGACAAGACAACTGAAGTTCAGCACTTGGTGTCTCCTAAACACTGCCCTGTGCTCCTCTTCCCTAGCTGATATTAATTTGTATCCTTTCACTGTAATAAACTGTTATTATGAGTTTAACAGGTTTTCTGAGTTCTGTGAGCTCTTTAAGTGAATTATCAAAACTGACAGTGGTCTTGGAGACTCCTCAAACGTGTAGTTGTGTCGGAAGTGATGGTGGTCTTGGGGACCCTTGAACAACTCCGAAGTTGATGTCGGAAGTGAGGGTGGGCTTGTGGACCCACAAACTTTGCAGAAGTGCATTGTGAATATATTTCTACACAAAAATGTAAGGCAAAAATATTTATAGCAAAGCCTGAAAGTGAAAAAGGGAACCACCTCAGAGGGAAAAAGTCTAGAATTGTAGACCAATAAGCTACACTTCCAGAGAAAATATTAGAATGCATAATCAAAATAGCAAAATATGGAAAACAATATGGCTTTTAAAGGAGTAAATCTTAATTTAATACACTTTTTACAATAGTGATAAATATTGTAAGTGGAGGCATATAATGGATATAATACATATTAGCTTTAGGAAAATTTTTATTTGGTCCCAGGATTTGATGCTTTACAGCATCTCATGTTAAATAGCTCCAAAAGAACTGTAAATTTAACTAATTCACTAATGACACATGTAGGGTACAAAAAGTAACTCGTTAAAGAAGAAATCTATACAAAATGCAAGCTAGGACAGAACTTATTTTGCAAATGTATGGCATAAAATCGATCTAGACAAATAAAAACCACAAGTTAAGTAGGAGTTAGCAGTTTGTCACTGTAATTCTAAAAGTTAATAAAGTACTGCATTATCCAAATATGAGAATGGCATGTGAGGCTTAGTCTGCCACTGTATTCTATTCTAGTGAGATCATTTTTAGATATTCGTATTCATTTAAAA